ACACACACACACACACACACACACACACACACACACACACACACACATTTACACACACACACACACACACACACATTTACACACACATACACAAATACTCATTTACACACACTTCATGCATATATACACGGACATGCACTCACACAAAATAACACATAGATTAATTTAGTCTTAGTTTATTAAGGTTAATGTATTAGTAAATTATAGATAGTTATAACACCAGCTTAAGAGCAATGTTTAATTATTAATTGTAAAGAAGAGCGATGTTTCCTAACACAGGCCCTATCAAGCTTAAAAGGAAACATCAGCCCCTGAATTATGCCATGTACAGTGAAGTAATAAAATATTTTTCTTATTTTTATTATTTATTATAATAAATTTAATATAAAATAATAATTACAATAAAATTATTAAATTAAAATTATGTGTCTAATGATCGATGTTAGAATAATAAGTGACGATGGCACACGTCCGGTTTCCGAACATGGCTTATGCTGTCCTCACGTTCCGCTGCATCGGCGCCCCCTGCTGCAACTGGTCCATCACGTTGTGCTGCGATGGCGCCTCGAGCCGAAAGTCGCAATAATTAGGTGATTGCAACACAGCGGTTTCCGTGCGTTATCCCTACTTAACACACACGTAATTTCATCGTGTTAAGTTGTGTAAACAAACATTAATAATATTTCTTAGTGACTTAACTACAACAGTGATCTATTATTTGATTTGTGAATTTTAATTACCAATGTTATGGGTATGGGCATGGTAGGGGTAACGTAGATAAATAAAATAATTATTGTTTTGTGATATTAAAAAATATATATATTCAGGAGGCTGCAATAAATGTACTTCGTTTCAATTTAGTCGCCCTGTATTGGATCGAATCGAACTAAATTTTTACTTAATTTACTATAAGAAGTCAATCAAAATTAAACAAATACTCTATTGTATAATTAATGTTTTCTTAACATTTTTTACTTAGTGTAACAGTAATTCCTCGTGACACAATCGAACTGGCCGATTTATGCCTCCTTGAAAGTGTATCTCACATCTCTCTTTTGTGTATTAAATATATCTGATGAAGGTGTTTTTCTTTCAGTTTCAGACTCGATGGAACCTCACGAGTCCGCTGTTAGTCTTAGCTCGTAATGTAGTTGTCCTTGACAACGGGTCAGCACTGCTGCAGCAAACTCTATCACTTCTGTACAGTGTCGGTTCTGCGGGGGAGGTTCCTTTAAAGGTGCTATCTTGGCAGCCAATCTATTTTTAATTCTTTCCCGACACGTAGGCAGTATCTTCTGAAATACCCGGTGTGACTCAACGGAGACTTTGAAATATCCGGATGTTCCATAATACCGCAGTGCACTCTAATGGCCCTTGAATTAAGTTACTATAAATCTTGTGAATTTCTGCCTACACTAATGTTTCTAAACTTAAAAAAGAGAGTTATAGAATTTGTCACATAAATAATTACATGTGGCTTTACTATACAAACACGAGCATATGACAGATTATAAATGGAATAACGAAGGAAACAGTAAAACACAAACTTCTATATTACTTATTTATTTGTTTTTATTTCTGCAATCTAAAGTACGTATCTACAAAAGATGTACATTCTTTCCAAACGCACCGGTCACAAACCATGGTTTGCGATGACGCGCGTCACTTCCTCAGTTTGTAATATTTCTTCCCAAAAAGTTTATGCCTCTCTGTCACGCGGTAATCTGCCATATCTTTGAACGAGGGCATTTTGTATGGCGTAAAAGCGACGAGTGGCGACAGCGTAGGTTTGAACTTGATCGGGTTGTGAAGTGTTTCTGACCACGGGAAGAAGTACTCGCCAAGGTACACGCCATGCTTAGTTTGGTTATGTGACTTCACGGGGCCGGCGAGAAGTGAAAGTGCGATGCTAAAATAAAAGAAGAGATAAAATTCTCCTCTCTTAAACGACACCCGCAGCACCCACATTAGAAGTCATTTAGTAGTATTTTCGTAGCAGTAGAGCTCCTTGTGAAAGAGTTTCATCCAGGCAAGTAGTGCCACCTCACCCATTTTCGCCGCCAAGCAGTAATGTGAGCATCACTGCGTTCTGGTTTTGAAGAGTAAGGTTGCTGGTGAAATTACAAGCACACGGGACTTGTCAGCTTAAGTCTTAGGGAGTCGGACGCAGTGCCAGTGCCCCTCAGATCTTTGCGATTTAAAGCTCTGAGGGTACTGCCACTGTTATTGAAAGGCGTGTCACTGACCATCACGCGCACGACTTGTTCGGCCCGTCAGTTAATAACTATAAAAAAAAATAGAAAGAATCATTCCCTGAATATATAGGTTAAACCGGGAGTTGACCTCTTTCCAGAGGGAACTCTTTCTCGCCACATGGATAAGAGCTTCTACCTCCTTAGAATCTTACGGCGTATCGTCAGCAAAATATGTGCAGGTTTAATGTGACTTCAAGTACAAAACGTCAACCGGAATCTTATGCATGTTATATATTTAACTTAAATCAGAAACAGTTTAATCGTTTAGGAGTCGCTTCATTGCGTAAAGAGCACCCGGCCGTGAACACTGCGGGGGCGTAGGGGA